CACATAAATAATTTCCGCTGAAAAATGTTCGAGAAAAGTACAGCTTGTCACTATTTATCACTGCCTCAAAATATTATGCAAATAAGAACCAGACATTTTCTTGAATTTTGCGTGTGAAATCTGATACAATATCCTTTGTTCGAAACTTGAAACGCAGGTGCATTTTCCCATCTCCCGCCGGCAGTACCGCAATGGAACCGTTTACCATTTTCGTCGATGTGGCTGCTTCCTCACATATCCCTATACTTGGATCGTAATTCTTCAGATATAAACGCCACCTGAAAACGTAAAAATCCATCTTTTCTAGTCAGAGAATGAATTCGGCTTACAAGCAAGCAGGACCGCATTTATGAATATTTGCCTCGTAAATTTTAATTTCGCCATTTTTCCACTCACTCTTACACCGTAATTACAGTATCAGCAATCAATATTTATGGTCTGACCAACATAATCTCTGATCGAATTATCTTCGGATGTGAATTTGCGCATCTGCTCTAAATTCATTTGATAGTTAATAATAATTAATTTAATAATAGCAAACAAGTCAAATTTGTGTTATAGCCTGCAAACACACGATTTCACGTTCAAGACTTATTACCCACAAATTTTAAATTATTAGAATGATACAAATCTTACACGGACATAAACGCAATTAAATCGGATGATGCACCTTATCGAAAAAATAAATTCAAGCACAACATACAGGCTGTTTCAACTTCCAACGGTCCAGTATTGTTTATAAATGATTCATTGAACTCGTTTAGGTGGTACACCATATATATTTTTATTTATTAGTTCGATAACTTATGGGAAAACATGTTGTATTTTACAATATACTCTTCTGCCATTGTCAAGATAGAATGTCATAGAACTTATGCCAATCCCAATCACGATAGCTGAAGGTCACAATCTACTACTTAATAACTTAAAACTTGTTTATACTTTTTGGTCGTTATTTTGTAAACAAGTATGTAGTTCAATATCAAATATTACGAGCAACAATAAATTTTATGCAAACATTACTACGACACCGAAAAGTCTGTGTTGTCATCTTCCTGAAACATGCTAGAATTTTTCAGTGGTGCGAGGATAATAAACGCGTTAAGTTAATGATCATTTCTAACCCAAAATTTACAAAGATATTTACACGATATCGCCCCCGTATTAATTTGTCTAATTAATATTAATAAAACCTTTTTCAGTAATAGTTACTTATTTTAAGGTAACGTTGATGGGGATAAATATATCAACTGGATTGTAACATTAAACATAATTGTAATGTTGCAATCGTTTTTAAGGTGATAACTGATAATTCAGTTTATACCTTTTTTGGAGATCAAAAATTACTTATAAGAATAAGTAATTTTAAAAATCCTAAAACAGTACTCAAGCATTATAGATTAATTAATTAATTTACTTATTTATTATTTGACTATTAATGACTGAAGCAAAAATTTCTGTTGGCAATTCTGAATTATAGGCATCCGTGTTAGTTCGGCAGTTCACAGTTGTCAATTTTGACATGAACATGCCTAACAAACGTGTTGTTTGGTTGAGACGATGGCAGCTGTCATAAATGTGACTTTCATAATCATAAAATTTTAAATAGGTTGTTAACCTGATAAAAAAAAGTCACAGTCGATTTACATATATTTTTTTATTATACCTACTATCTAAACAATTTTTAAAACAATACAGCATATCACTACTAAAGTACGGCATAAAATTTTTGGAAAAGATTAAAATAAATTAATACCTTTTTAATTAATTCTCTCATTTCTGTCATTTGCCAACCCGCTCTCTATTTTCTTAGAGGGTATGTCATTTCCCAAAATCAGTTTTATCTTGGCAAGTAAGTACTGATGACTAACTTTTACAGAAAGTGATCAAAATTTAGAAACATTACGAGCTTACTTATTTGCACAAGGCGGGAATTTTGAACATCTCTAGTGTTTAGTTGATTATGCTTTAAAGGATTTTTCTTTTGTTTTTTTTTTTATTTATAATTTATATAAATGTCTTATTAAATGTTTTTTTTAGGATATTTATTAATGAAAATAACAGCTTATTTTATTAATAATAATGCAAAATGATTAATGATCACTGGTTGTTATGATTATTGTCCTAAAAAAAATAAAAGGTGGATTTCAGTCACCATCGTTACTAAGAAATCAGAAAATTAGCCAGACGTATTCACGCATTAGGTTCCTGCAGTGTTGCCAATTTTACTTTTATAAAATGACTGTTTTTTCGTAATCTGCATCATAAAGAATTTTTTTATTATTCTTTTGGGACTCCCGGAGCCCCAGTACATACCTACCGAAGAGATAATCCGCCATTTTGTAGACACCCGGTATAATCATAGTTCATTCGTAAAATTCTGATGCGACGTTGTCACGTTATTCGAATTTTCATTTTTTTAGCAATGCAAGGGTTCACAAAAAAACCAATAGAATTATCTTTAGCATCTGTATTGAAGTAATTTTTGCAGAGATAAACAGTTGTAGTATTAATTTAATTGAATATTAATATAGGGAGACAGAACACCCGATTTTTCATTTCTAGATCTTAGTTTGTTTTTTTATTTTATTTCTTTCTAGATATTGGTGTGAAAAAAGTGAAAAATCACAGAAACTATAGAAAAAGAAAGAGAAGAAAAAACAAAGTAAAATACAGGGTATTGTATTTGAAAATTGTATAATCAAGAATTTTTTAATAAACACTGTATATTTGTACTCAATTTTATTTATGCCACAGCAAAGTACGTACCTTGATTTATCTCTCCACAAAATATTGTAAGACAGATTGCATTGTTTAAAAAATTCAGGAACATTGGAATAATATGTAAAAATATCTAGGATGTTCCATTAAAAAAAAACTAAGTTGTGTGTTAAGATTCAAAAACAAAACACTCTGTATAATTGAAAATAATTTTACTGTAGGCTATCCTCAAGGAACCATACAACTTAATCGCGCACTTTTGTTCTATTTTCTATAATTACTCACCTGTATAAATTTAAAACCTGTCCAAAACAACAGAGTTTTTAAACGTTATTTCAAAAGCTTATTTAAAGTAGGATTATTACCTCACACTAACATAACAATAAAATATAACGTATAACAAAAGAAAATGACTTTCGAATTTTGTGGTCATATATACAGGGTGAGTCACTAAGCGCGCTCTGATCGAGTGTTTTTGCCTATTTGTTGTATTCCTAATTACGAATATGAACTTCATTTTTTGCTGTCATGTAAGGTTTATTTGAAAAATAATACGAAAAACTTAAATTTAAGAAATACACAGTATGTACTAAAGAGAAGTTAGGTATTTATTTTTTATATACTTTTTATATATTAGCAAAATTACTTTTATCCACTTATTAAAAATCTTTGTGAAATCGTTGTTGTTTTTTCCTCAAAAGTGACACTATTTCTTCATTTTTGACTTGCCCAAACATCTGGCAGTCATAATGCAATGCACTTCAAATATATTATTTCATTTCAAACCGTTGAAAGCCTACTACCATTTTTTTGCGGAATTTTTGTTTTTGATGTTTTTTTTAACTGTACGTGACTGATTTTTTGACAATTCTTACGATAATTGGCATCCGAAAATCATCAGATTCGTCTGTTTATTTTAATTTATCGCAGGCCTGTATAATTGGAAACAGAAAAAAGCCTAGGTTTTAAGTTGTACAGACATTCTATTCTGTATGCAGACTGTTCTGTTTTTAAGGTATAACACATAACTTAGTTTTCTCAAAAGAATGAAAATACATATAGATTCTTATAAATTTTGATTAACCTCTTCTTAGGCTTTATAACCATATACTAGTTTATTTTCTAAATTGCGATACGATGTTGCCAAGGTATTCCAGTTTTCTTGAAATTGTGTAAGGTTCACAAAAATTATCGCAATAAGGTTATTTTTGAAATACAATATTGTGTGGAGATAAATAAAGATACGCTCCTTATATTAAAAATTTAAATATGTATTAACAATTTTTAGATATCGATATTTCAGTTTTTTTCAAACAGAACAACCTGCTTCTATTTTTTTTCTTTTTCTTTGTTGTTAAATGTTGATGTATGCTCCTTAAAAAAGCAAAAAATATCACAGTAACTATCAACTTAAATGTAGATTTAAGTTGATAGTTACTGTGATATTTTTTGCTTGTTTAAGGAGCATACCGATATATTAAAAAAAAAAGTACAAACAATAGTAACATGCAGTAATAAAGTGTTCTTGTTGAAAAAATCGAAATATCTGTATTGGAAAACTGTAAAGTTTTGTTTTATATAAACGCCCTATTTAAATTTCATAATAGAATAAAATACTCCTGCTCTTGTGGTTTATGAATCCGTGTTGAGTTTTTACCATAATGAAATATAATATAATATAATACATATAATACACGAACTCATATCAATAAAAGTATGGATGATGGTAAGGCAGGACTGATAACCCTGCTATAATCAGAGAAGTAACAACCTTGGCATTAATAACCCCAATTTTGGCCACTGACTAATGTTAGATAAAAACTCCTTTTACTCCGTCAGCTGCTTAGAAAATTAGTCTGCAAGACTCGCTATACGATATCTCAATCCTAAATCAAAGTTCTCCTGTAATTCTACACACCTAAAGTTGATCATAACTTGCTTAGTTCATAGTTAGATCCGGCCCTGGCCCAGCTTCACTTCACGTCTCTTTACGAGACAGTATAAAGAAAGCCGCGTTGGCTGAATTTACTTTTATTAGAAGTTGCTTGGGGCTGAACTTACATGAAGGTTGGTTTGGCGACATCGTGTAGAACGAGCGAGGGCAAAGATGAGGCGGAATTTGCATGCGTTATAGGATTTCGGGGTTGATGAGCTTGTCTGCCAAGTTGTGTGACTGGGGTAACTATGATAAAAGCCAAAACATGGCTTTTAATAAAGTATCGCTTGAATGAAGCTAAATATTTTAGGATATGAACAAGACGAAATTTTCGTTTTTTCAGCCTGCCTGGATGAAGAGCAAAGAATACTGGGACAAATCATTCGAAGACCGATTCGAGCGACAGAAAATGGATGCCGACAGACCACCATTGAAGGTAATAACGAGTAAAATTTTTTAATGCCGATGCGATTGTTGATTCACCCTAATTAAAAGAGTATGTGTAGACTTTTGTTTAATAATTCCATTTCCAAAAATAAAACTTCGAGTTATTTTTTAATTAAAATTGGAAGAAACTACATTTTTTACTTGTGTAGAATGTTGCACCTAAGATTTAACCCTCGTTGCTTAATATGGATTATTATAGTATTGTTAAATATGCAAAATATCGTAGAGAAAAACTCTTCAAATTTGTACAAGATACAAAAAACAATCAAAACTACTTTTGGATTTTCCACACAGTTCACGTCAATGCCAGTTCGTCACCACTGAATTATTTGAACTTGTTTTTCTTTAAATTCGAAGGAAAGGAAAAGGAAAAAAAAAGGCGAACAATTGTTGATTAATTCTAAACAATTTTTAAATTTATTTTGATGTTGTAAAATAAGGAAAATGATGAATAAAATCATGACAGTTCCAAAACAATTAAAAATTCGATCGACTTCGTGTATTAAGCAGTGAAACATCGACAAGAAAAATTAAACTCTGAAGGCTGATGTCATCTACTTACATTTGAGCCTAAAGATTTTTTTAATTATTTTTTCTTTGCTGAATAGACAGCCCTTAACAAGTGTCGTTTTTCATATCCTGTATAAACAAAATTTAAAATAAAAATGTATTTTTCAGGAACGATTTATTTCATTAATAAGATTTAAATAATGGGAAAAGTAAATTTAAAACTGCTGTAAATCAGTATTCATGGATTTTAATCTAAACTGTTAAAAACATTCCTTTAATTATCCTCGTTTCATGCCTTATTGAGTTTTGAACATTTTTTACACTTTCTTGCTGGGAAATAAGCGACGTTCCATATTATGCATTTTTAGGTCCGTAATTGGCGACATTTCTTGCATATAAAATGTTCTCTAACAAGCGTGAAAATTTTAAAGACAACGTCAAATTCGTCAGTAAAACAGGAAAATTGGGGACAGATAATTAGTTAGCGAAATTTTGTTATACAGCACGTCATTTAAAAAACAGAGCACGAGTTAGTGTGGGTAGTTAGTGTTGCTGCGTACAAGATTCGCTAAAATAACAGGTTAAAAATAAATAATTAAATATATTAATAGCTATTAATCTTTCCAAATAATGGTGGATAAAAATAAAATCGTTAGAGATAAGAATTGTTTATTAAATGATTGTAAGCAGTACTTACGATTTCATTGCACTCAGTTTACTTTGATTCATTTTTTTATCGATCCTTAAAATGAATGACTTTCAAAGACGGTACTGAACCTCTGTACGATTAAATATCAATGTATTTATTTATTCTACATTTCTACATTTTCAATTCTAAATATAAAACAAATTCAATAAAAAAATATTTAATAGGTTTTTTGAAATGACGTTACAAATTTTCTGGTAGACACGAATAAATAAATTTATAAAGACAAAATATACCATGGATAGAGGAACTTGTCACGTTGTATTTTAGTCGAGTAAAGTTTCATCAATATTTTGATCTGAACCATCAATTTTTTTTAACGAGATGTAAACACATTCTTTATCATTTGAACAATAATCTTAAGAGATTGTGAAAATAGTTAAAAATTAATAACAAACAAGTACGATAAATGTTTCACGGTCTATGAAATGTCAAAATAATATGAAGTCTTTGTGTCTTGTTATCCAACTAACCACTGGAAAAAGTAGGTCTCAAATATGCGTGTATAAGGCACATATATTTGCTTATATTTTCATATAGTTACTCTTTTTTTATTATTGGTGTAATAAACAAAGGTTTGATAACTTTGAGTACGGTAAGTTTGCATGTCTTGAAAACGCAACGGAATTTCTTACTATCAAAACTGATGTTGGAAACTTTTATTTGTAAAGCATGTTGTCAAACCACTTTAAATGAGGCGTAGCCGAATCACCAGTGGCTCATTAATTTGATTACCGGACAAATAATAATTATAACTAACTAAATATACATCGTGCACAAGTATGTGATTTAAAACAAACAAATTAATAAAACAAATAAGCAGCACTTCTAAAACTCAACATACAGGCTATAATTATATCGATCTTGTAAACGAAGAGTTATGAAATTTTAGAGGTATTATAAATTCAACCGTCAAAAGATATGTCATTTTTCTACCGCCCACGTTTTTTGGTTTTCTAATAGAGCTATTAACGCACGCAAATGACGTCACAGCAGTTCGTTAATAGCGGAAAGGCGTTCTTTAATAGATCTGGTGTAATTTAGATCGGTAAGATTGGTAGCAATGACGAGAAATGTCAGGTGAATGTCAGTGGCAAATCTAAACTTGAAATTTCCCACGTTTCCAGACGCGTAACTTCTTCGCAAGATTTTTTAACCAATTTTAAATTACAAAAACTCGAATTGATTCGAATTACAATTGTTGTTGTGAAAATTCGAACCTCAAATATTTCGTGGTTAGTGTCAGACCAACCCATCACCAACCACGACAAAAGTCCCCAGATTAAAAAAAATGCAAATTTCAATTAAATTTTGGGAAAAAACGTGTGCGATAGAAAAAATAGTATAAATAACTCGTTCATAAGGCCATTGAGGCACTCATCCTTTATATAACTCGCGGCTTCGCCGCTCGTTCTATAAACTTGGATTCGTGCCTCAATATTTGCCTTATGAAACTCGTTCTTTAATATACTATTATTAACTTAATTACCTTTGGAGCGTACTGATTGGTTTCATGGTGCATAATAGTTGATTAACTTTTAAAGGTTTTGTTCTTAATATGAGTAATCTTTTTCTGATTACAAAAAAAAAGATGAAAATTGTACATAGTTACCGTTAGCTTTAACAAAATTAATGATAATGATACATGTAATATATACAATTACGCTAATGCCGATTTTACATTATAAGCATGAAAATGTGTAAAGCGTTATCACGAAATCGCTATAGATTAACCATTTCATTTTACGTTTCGAATCCCACTTGAAGCAACATCCGTTGACGAATTGCGTCTGTAAGCCTAATTAAATGTTTTGATATAACGAAGTGCTAAAAGACGAATTCTCGATTGACTTCACCTTCGTAGGAGCCAAAGCAGATGAAGACTTTGAACGGGGCAGTTAAATTAACGTAAATATTGATTCTAGAGTTTACTGACGTTTCAATGCACGTGTCGTTCGTTTCATCCTGACGAAATATTTATTCGTGTCCATTTATATATTCACCATTACAACAGATTCGATTGTCTCTTACTATTTACATGATGGTAAACCGTGTTTTCGATGTGATTCAGGTCATCATAGTTCCTCATTCTCATAACGATCCAGGATGGTTGAAAACATTCGAAAACTACTTCCACTACATCTCGAGACAAATAATGAACAACATGGTAGCCAAATTACAACAGTACAAAAATTTAACCTTCATATGGTCTGAGGTGGCATTTTTGAACGCGTGGTGGGAAGAAGCTCATCCTAGCAAACAAAGGGCTTTAAGAAATTTAGTCAATTCGGGAAGGCTTGAAATTGCTACCGGGGGATGGGTCATGACTGACGAAGCGAATGCCCATGTGTACGCCATGGTGGATCAACTGATTGAAGGTAATTATTTTTTCTGAACTGTGTAGTTATCTTGTGTATCGATGTCTTCATTAACAAACAAAATATTGCTCGTGTCAAGTAAAATCTAAGTTAGTACATTTATTTTAAAAAAGAGTTTATTGATTCTTAATATTTCAGTCCAGCCTGAAATTGCGGTCATTATAAGTGTGTTTGATTTCTTTTTCAGCAGCTAAAAGCGTCCAAAAGTATAGTTAATAACAGATGAACGTACATCATTATTAAAATAATATCTAGTATTTCATTTATTACAAAAATTTTTTCTTCAGAAAATTTATGTTTCGTTTGGTAATCACGAACATTATCGACACTGTTGATATTTCGAGATCTTCCCATTAACTAACTAACCGGAAGAGGGCCCCACTTGAAAAGTGCGTTTTTAAAACGTTTGAATCGACTGTAATATATTTAAAAAAAATTAACAGTTTTATTAACACTATTAAATTTTACACAGTTATTTTATTAATTAGTCCTGTGTCCAACGTTTCCTCATTTTCCTAGACATGTTTTTGTGTAAAAAGTAACGGCGTCTCAAATTTACCTGTACTTGTTGCAGTTAATAATATTCATTATTAGAAGTCGCACTGACCAAATATGATGTAGATATAACGGACGCATAACCTTAATACCTTATGTAGAATATAATTTTTAACATTAGTGTGTAACCTCCATGACATATAAGTATGCTCAAATAGAATTCCAGGCTTGTTTTATTACTGCATGCACATTGGAAGTTTATTATGTACTCAAGCTCGTTATAACAATGTTGTATGCACAAGTTTTCATAATTCAGACGTCATTATTTTAACGGAATTGTGCTTCACCTACTTTATATTGTTTTAAAAGATTAAAATATTTGAGCTTTATTAGGAAAATGATTGATTTTTTATTACATTACATTTGGTAATTAAAATGCGCTAAAAACGGGCTTACAACAAATCATGTTTGGAATAAATTAACATTATTTATATCGATCACCACAATAATAATTATTTAAAGTGCTATTAAACCAAATCACGTATATTTTTGTGAGTATACGTGCAGAATTGCACTGTATTAGCTTTTAAACTCACGCTAATATAATTATTTAATAAACATCAACATGTAACTCATTCTTCATTTTTTCAAATTTGTTCTAAAACAGTTTCTCTAAACTCTTGTCTCTGCACATTGTCATTGTATTTAGTATAATCATGATAATGTTCTAAATGTTATTAGAAACAGTACTTTGATTACATTTCTATAAAAAAATTTCATTTAATAGTTTAATACAATGAAGACTAATTAAACGGTAGAGATTTTAGTTGTTAAAACCATTTAATGTTTATTGAAGACTTGGAATGAAGTAAGCCATATACTAACATATGTTGCCTTGTTTATAAAGTCTTAATTAGGAGTACTTCCATCTCAATGAATGTTTTTCTTTTAATTAATGACTTTTAATGAAAATAAGGAAACAGGTACATTCAAATATTTATCATAATGTTGATGTAACAGCAACTGTAAAACGATGTGTAACGCGACTTCAGTGTATTAAAATACTCAAAAAGTATGTAAAATGGTACCTAAATATGTTTTATAGCTGTAGTAAACGGTACGGAAGCTATCTACAAAGATTTACGACTGTAAATTATTGGGTGACTATCCAATAATACCACTAATAACTAACAGTAATGAAAGTAGTTAAACCATAACATATACATCTATATAAAATAACAGTTACATTTATATTGTAACATTCTTATCAGAAAATACCCGTTTAATGGGTTTTCTAAGAACTAAAGAATGATCATGAAGTAAGACAATATGAACAAGAATAGCAAATAATAATTTGTACCATATTTAGAAAACAATAATTTTTATAAATTATATAGGTAATGGTAGCTTTAAATATGACATCGACATTGGAACATGTTCTACGCTCATACCATATTTGAAAATATATCTCACAATCGAAATTTCTGTTGTGAAGAACTCCTTTGACTCTTTCCAAAGGGGAATAAATCACGTTTTTTACAAGTACAGGCAACGATTACAAATTGTTTGAAAGATGTCACAAATAAATTATAAACATCCACCAATTATTATCATCTACTGCATAAGAAGTAGTTACGTAAAATGTGATAGAATACACTAATGAAGCAAACAGTAAATTTCTAACTAATACCAATATTTCAAACACCTTATAATAAAAAAGAAGCAGTCCCCAACACCTGTCATTTAGTTTAACAATTTCACAAATGGTAATGCAATTTTTACTGTCAACCATTAGAATCGATAAAATAATCTGTTCGAAATTGTTTTCCTGTTTATTTTTAATTATGGTGGAGTTTGGTAGTAAAAGCGGTTAGGAAAAAACCTATTCTTTATTCAGTTATACACGAAAGGTCCATTTTGATCAGCTTTTTTTTTTGTTCACGTGGTACAAAAACACAAATTTTCCATCGAAATATTTCAAATAATAATGTTTAGTAACAGCCAGATTTAACAGCTTTCATTATTAATTCTCAATCAAGTTTTATATTTGCCGTAAAAACTCTAAAAAAACTGAAAATTGTTTTGTTTTTAAAGTTTTCAGGGTTGAATATATTTACGCTGAATTTTGTAGATTCACACCACCACCCGTTGATTTCACTTGCAAACAAAAAAAACCTCCAGTGGTGATTTTCATATTCTTAGAGCGGCCCTACCGTTGAATCTTCAACGAACGTGAAAGTTGTCATCACAAAATGCACAAATATAAACAGTTTCTACTGTGCATACCTGATTAACCTAAATCGTCCATTTTATCTTACTCTTCAGCTTTAAAAAAATTTGAAAGATGGAGATATAATTATTTATGATTCAAGAACATCTTCGAAAGTATGTCTATTTATTCCTAAAAAATTTTGAAAGCGTGTTCAACCATGTTCAAAGCAAATGTGATCTGATTATTATTCAGTTTCAAATCGTTTTTTAATTTTGTACGTGAACAATAAAACCGCTGTTTAATTATAAACAACCTCATTAAAATACCGTCAATCAGAAAATCTGAATTTCTATTTTTTGTTGCAGTTCTTCCATATTTGAACTCAATGTGTAAACGCACATCACTAATGATCTATTAGTCCTATAGAACAACAAGCATTCCTTGAACTCGGCTTCGCCATGTATAATTTTATTAAATACCTACCTGTGAAAGTTGAAGATGAATTAGAAACATCTATTCTGTAAATTAATACAAAAATGTCGTCTCTCCATAGATACCATTTGAGTGATTGAACGTCAAACTGTGTCTTTCAGTTACAGACAACTCAGAATACTCTCACAAAGGCAAACTGAAACATCTAAATCACAGTAGCTCAACTTGTATGGTGTCACATTCCCCACACCGGCTGACACTTAACACTAATTAATTGAGGCTGCTCTTGAAATAATTGATAAAACAATTTTTTCATTAAAAATGTGTTTAATGTTTTTTTTGAGATTACATAATTAACTTTCCAATGAATAGAACTTCTTAAATCAGTCTACTTAATATCTTACTAAAATTTCAAGGAAGTTCGCTGTAAGAAAAAAAGAGAAATTAAAGTGTTACGATTTTCAAGAATATACGGTTCGTTTGACGATGTTGAGCATACAGATATTTTTGAACTCACAAACGATCATGCACGTGTTTTGTAGTTCCATTTTTTTGAGCTACATGTAGCTTACGCTCGGGAAGTAAAAACAAACAATATTTTCAATTTTCAATCAGATCGTATGAACACGGTAATTATTGTTCGTAAATTGCTCAGAGGCTTTTTCATATGATGTTAATAAGTTCAAGATAATCAGATTAGCGCTGCTGGAAACATTTATATCACATCATGAATTATATCTTTTTTTTTGTAAAGTACAGTATTTTTTATTATAATTTTGTTTCAGTTGTGGAAACCGAAAACGATAAAGTAAAGTAGCTGTTTGTGATATTTTATATAAAATATTGTATAAATATGCTGTTATTGATGATTGCATTTCGGAAACAAATGCTATAATACCATTCGATAAAAAAAAAACTCCTCCAGTGTGTCGTATTTTTAAAGTAATGATATTGGCAACACCGACGCGTTCCTTGTTCAGTTTGACATTAAGGTCAAATAAAGGGTCAAATAGCTGGAATGTCAACATCATTATCAAACAAAAAAAAATGCACTCTTTACTAGAGGAGATTTTTTTCGATCATCCATTTTTTAATAATCTCGTAAGCTAAAAAAGGATAGTAACACCGATCTCCTTGACCTGTGTAAAGAATTTTGCCAAATAGGCTGAAATACCGATATTTTTGTGCATGCACATCAGGTCTTACCTGAACCGGTGTTTGTAAAAGATCTTTGAGCGATTATATTGTCTTCTTTCCTTGAAAACTGTGAAATGGATGAATGAATCATGCTGAACAAAGAAAAAACTCACACTTCTCCAAGAAATAAAACAACTGTGCCTGTAACAAGCAATTTGATGATAATTCATTGTTTATAAAAATCGATTACGTTTTAGTGTTAAATTACACAACTAGAAGTTAAAGAGAAATTTCTGGGTAATTTTATATATACTTCATTCGAAACATGTTTTATGTTTACGAATAATGCACGCACAGACCGCTGTAACTGTAATTCGAATACTTTACATTATTCTAAAGATCAAAATATCAAGGATTCTTTCTATTTATGGAAAAGAATACCGTGAAGATACACTGCGTTAAGAATATCCGCTGTGAAAAGATAAGGTCAAAGTTAACTCTAACGCTAAACATTATCTTCCAGGTCATCAGTGGGTATGGTCGAACCTAGGCGTAAAACCTGTCTCAGGATGGTCCGTCGATCCATTCGGTCATGGTAGCACCCAACCCTACATCCTCGCTTCCTCAGGGATAAAAGGTACAGTAATCCAACGGATACACTACGCTTGGAAACAATGGCTGGCCTTGAAACAATACGGCGATTTCCGATGGGTCCCTAATTGGAGCCCATCAGAACCTTCGGCCTCCGTTCTAACCCATAATCAACCCTTCGACATATACTCCATCAAACATAGCTGTGGCCCCCATCCCTACATTTGCCTGAACTTCGATTTTCGCAAGGTGATAGGAGAGTACACTGAATACTCAATCAAAGCACAAACCATCACAGATAAAAACATCAAAGAGAAAAGCGAGCTGCTGCTGGAACAATACGCAAGGACGGGATCTTTGTTTCCCCACAACGTGGTGCTGATGCCTCTTGGTGATGATTTTAGATACAATGTAGCGGAAGAATGGGACCAACAGTACACCAACTATATTAAACTGATAGACTACATCAACGCAAATAAGGAGACTTACAAGGCCGAGGTTCTTTTTGGCACTCCGAGAGATTACTTCCGCGAGATTGTGAAACGGTACGATCAATACCCCACCCTCAAAGGGGATTTCTTCGTCTACTCGGATATATTTTCGGAGGGAAGGCCCGCGTACTGGTCCGGATACTTCACGACGCGGCCGTTCATGAAGCTGCTAGATAGAGAATTGGAGAGCAACCTTCGCGGAGCCGAGATTTTGTACACAATAGCGTTGAATAATGCGAGGCAAAAGAAGCTGTTGCCCTACTTGAAGATCCTCGAGCGCGATTTCGAGAAATTAGTACGCGCTCGGCGTAACTTGGGCCTGTTCCAGCACCACGACGCCATCACGGGCACCAGCAAGTCGTTCGTGATGCGCGATTATGGACTGAAGCTATTCGAAGGCATCCGCGACACCGTCAGCATCCAACAGAATTCTTTGCAGAGCTTATTATTCCCGAACATTCCAATAAAGCCGGGGGAGAACGTGGTATTGAGCGACTTGGAAAGGGATTCGTACGAAAAGCTGCCTCGGAAAACGCCGATCACGCTATGGCCGAAGCAAGTGCGGAAAATCGTGCTATACAACTCCCTGGCCCAGCCTCGAGAACAATTAGTACAAGTTAGGACCAACACGAGCAACGTTAAAGTCGTTGATAGCGAAGGAAACGACATTGTGTTCCAAATTAATCCCGTTTGGGACACTTCGGAGGGCAACACGAAGCTGTGGATTGCCGCCGATGAGTTTGAAGTGGTTTTTATAGCGGATTTGAAGGAGTTGTCGGTTACCGCGTTCAGCCTGGTTTACACAGAGGAAACCGAAGCGAAGCTTGCCACGATCTACTGCAATAAGTGCCACCGCAAGGCCAACATCATACTGAACACCGATAGTACAACGCAGAAGCAAAGCGAAATACTCAAATCAAAATTTAAAATCAAAAATATTCCTACGGGTGATATACAGTTAGAGAATCACGTGTTTAAAATTTTATTCAATGGGAACACAGGGTTTATGAAGACAGTCACTAGGAAACACAGCCCGAAGATAATGCAGTGCGGAATACAGTTTGCCGCATACCGGAGTGCGCAGTTCCACTCTGGCGCTTATTTATTCATGCCAGATCCCAACGAGAGGGATATAGAAAAAGACGTTCTGCAACAATACAAGGACCAGATGAGCATTATCATAACCTCTGGCTCTGTCTCCAGTGAGATTACTGTTATCTACGGACCGTTCTTGGTACACACTGTCGCTATATATCATATAGAAAGATCCAGTCTGGCTGATAGCATCTACATTGAGAACACGGTGGATTTCGAAAATCCACCCAAAAATCGCGAAACCGAATTGTTTATGAGAATCGTGTCGGACGTGCAGAATGGAGAACCGCCCGAATTTTACACGGATCAAAACGGATTTCAAATACAAAAACGCATTAAAGTAGAAAAGATAGGAGTTGAAGGCAACTATTTCCCGATCACTACGATGGCGTTCATCCAAGATGACAATATACGTTTAAGTTTACTGACGGATCATGCCCAAGGTGCAGCTAGTTGGCAGCCGGGCTTCCTCGAAATCATGCTCGATAGAAGGACCCTCTATGACGATTCCCGAGGAATGGGAGAAGGACTGGTGGACAACCGAAAGACGGTCAACAAATTCTGGCTCTTGATCGAGGACGTGGTCCATCTGAAAAACGACAAAAAGGGACATCCGAAGCGATTCGATAATGCCGACGACACTTTCGAAAAAGGTGACATTATTAGGTCGTTTAATGTGCCGACTGATCCTATAGAACCTATTAAACAAGACAGCTATTCAGTCCCCTCGCTCTATGCAAATGAAATGTCGAATATGTTAATTTATCCAACGGGAATTTTCATACTAGACTATGAACGTCAGAACGATGTCGAGAAGAGTTTTAAATTGATTAATAAGCAATTTCCATGTGATGTCCACTTGATGACCCTGCGAACTCAGCCAGATTCGGTTTATTCTCAATTTCCGTCTTCTAGTGCACTTTTGGTGCTACATAGGCAAGGTTACGATTGTGCTGTGAGTAGTAATTTTACTTGCAATTCGTTAAAATTTGACAGTGCGTTCCAATACGTCGAAGTTAAAGAAATTCAAGCTAAAACGTTGACCGGTATTGATACTTTAGTAGATAATATAAAGCGATTAAGTGATATTTATATTGAACCCATGACTTTAAAGACTTTCAACATGACCTTTGTATAGTAGCGAATTATTGATGTGATTTTATAGATTTTTAATGAATCCTTTATATTATTTATATTTTTAAAATTTGTAGATAGTGTAAATAGGAACTACTAATTAATTAAGGATGTGTGCATTTCTCTTTATGTTGTTGTGTTGTCCTAGTAGATAATCGATTTTTTTGTACATTTACTTCCATAAGTATAATGTTTTTAAGCACTGACTGATCATGTTTTCTTATTTAAGTTACTACGTTATAAGTGTTAATTGGTTATTTATAAGTTTTGCTGTTGTGAAAAATACTGTTTTTATACGTTGAGTCTTATTTGCCGAAATAAAGTTCCATTTGAATACCGAAAAGTAGTGTGTGTTCTTTTTCTATCTATGGGTGGTATTTCAATCAATTACTCCTTTTTTTGCCTTTTCTGACAAGTGAACTAACCTTTCAAAAATTCTGTGAAAGCCTTCACACAATGAGATCATTTTGACCAATTTCTGAATGATTTAGCTAAGTTAATGAAACAGTCTCAGTGAAGTTGGTTTACCATTCAAAGATTTTTTTAGAAATACCGAAAACTTGACTTACAATTAATAATTTCTATAAACTTTGACGATTTGAGCACCGTCATCTTCACGCTGAAATAAAAAATAAAAATAAAAAATCAGTCCCATCGTGCACCCCTTTAACAATTATCATTATTAGTATTAACATAATTGGCACTACTAATACCGTTGTGCAGGAAACTAAACAGAGAAGAGGAGCAAAGGAGTTGGCTTCGTGCCAGATTGCCACACCGTAGTTCGATTTTCGGCCAAGGCCTCCGGGTATTTGAGTCCGTTTTGAATTTTTGTGAACATGTGAAATGTGTGGTACTCTGTATGGCTCTGTACGTCAAGGCGGCTTCTCTCCATGCTGAATGTTTATGACCTTGTCGTCAGGGGGCGGCACAGCATGAGCCCGTACGCCTCGATATCCATGATTATACTATAACCTCGGCATAATGTAGCTGTGAACTGAGTTAAGTAATATAATAGTCAGTTTGACTTATAAGGGTGGTTTAGCTTAAACCGCTTAAGTAATAAAAGTTTTAACAGGTTTATGTCAAATGAGGTTCCTCAAATGTTCTATTAGTACCTAAGTAAATAACGTGATAGAAATAGATTATTTAATCTAACCACAGGTAGAGTAGGTAATATTTTTTTGTATGTTATACTGCATATCCATTAAAATTTTCTACAAATATTGTGATGGCGTCATGAACTTCTTAGTGGGAACAAATATGTTTATCTTGGTATATGTAGTACTAAAAATTTCACAAAAACCAATTAACCTTTTTTTGGTTAATGAATCGGTTTCGTTTAATATTTTTAGACATATTTTATAAATAACTATAAAGAATAAAGATCTGTTTTATAATTTTGGGATGACGTCATCAATTTTCACTAGAAAATCAGTAAATTTATGTTCTATAGTTACTCAATGACCACCAAAATTTCAAAGAAGTATGCAGGTATTTTTACGATGACCCAGACCGGGACATCACGCAGACGCGTAAAAAAAATGATCTAAAATCATTTGTACAGGACTTCCCTCGCACCTGAAGACAAATATTCAAACAAATTCGATGTGCTAGAAAAAAAAATGCTGACAAGGATGGGATCGAACTAACGCGGGCAGAAGTGAAGTTCTATAAGAAATCCACAGGCCCGTCGTCTACCGACAGTTGTTATGCATGTAACCCAAATATCAGCTATGTGCGCAAAATGTTTTGTAAAGTAACTTTGATAAAAATCAAGGCAGACTCATAAACCACAATATAGGATTATTTTATGTTATATAAAGGGTAAATATGAGTTACTACGAAAAGAAATAGCATGTTTGCGGAAAACATTATCAGTGTCATTTAGAACTCTAATTATGTCGTAACTGAAAAAAAAACTCTTTTTGTATTAACTGATACACTAAGTAGTTCTGAACATCTTCTGCATTGCCACAAAATTAGTTAATTTACGTGACAGAAAGTCAGTTCTGCTTGCTAATGTAAGGTCCTAAGCCGTCAGCATAACTGTTACAATTATACTTATAACTATAATTATAAATTATAAGTGTAAGTATAAGGAAAACTTTATAAGAAACTGGTTTGCGCAAACATGCTAAATTATCTTTTATTATATCTTATTTATGAAATGAAAATTTTTCTTAAAGACAGAAAAATGAGTTTCAATTTGGGCCCCAGAGCAGGTATTAATGTGGAAACAAAAATGGTATAAATCCAGAATCGAAACATTTTATAAAATTTAATTCCAAAACGAGTTTATCCACAACATAGCAGGTTGGCGTTTAAATAAAGAAAAGAAAAACGTAAAATAAAAAACAATCGATAATATTTAGTGAGAAAGAAATTCTTATTCAGTATTCAGTTATCAATTTTTATAGACATCAAAAGAAATTGATCACTTTTAGAACACGAAAATTTTAAAATCGTATATCCACATGTCATTCTAAAAATAAAGGTTAAAATAAGACTGAGTTTGATGAAATATTTAAAATAGATTGTGAACAAAAACAAACACTCAATAAAACGGTTTATAAACAGTTAATAATATCTAATTTAACTATTCTTAAAAAAAAATGAAAAAAACGTAATTTTTTTCTCCTGTATGAAAAAAGACAAAATTATCTGAACATACGCACATAAGGAAAAGTGTGCATAAAAAATAAAATACTTACAATATACGTAACAAAAAGACATCAAAAAAATTGTTGATCAAACAAAAGTAAGACAAAATTACCGAGCAAAATAGCCTTCATAAAAGATAAAAAAAATGTTAAAAAAAATAACACCTAATCTAAATTAATACAAAATTCTAATTTTTAGAATTCTTCTGCTACAATTTAGCGAATCCCCTCATCTTCATTTACGAACCCACTACAACAAAAAACACGTGAATTTTTTGTATACACAAAGAAAATACCGTATAAGTTAACATCAAGTTTATACATACTAATTTTTAATAACGGTGCAATTCAACATTACACAGGTTTAACAAATAGACAAGATTTAAAATTTAAATTTAAATCAGAAAATGTTTTAAAATCACAATATAAATTCTAAGCAAAATTTTTACATTTATATCACGCGATTTTTGGTAAAGATGAACAGAAAGTTTATGGGGACTCGCTAGACGAGGTATAACATTTTTTAGATTTTCTGTATGAAAAAATTGTATTAATGTAGATGACATCAAACTACAGCTTTTTTCATATTCTATCCTAAAAAAAAACACCACTGTATCTTTTCTTTTGGTTATTTTTGTGAGCTCAATCATATCATCATTACAGAATCAGTTGACAAAGCAACATTTTTTATAAATCGCAGAATTATTATTAATAATTGTTTGTTAGCGGTACAATTTATTTAAATAATAATGCATTTATTAAAATCAAAATACATACAGGGTGTCCCAGAATTCGCGCCATTCCCGTGAATGACATGTTCCCTGTCCCGAACTGTGCCGTAATTCGCAAAAAGAATTGTCCAGGCTTTAACCGTGTGAGAACTGGAAGACGATTAAGTTGACCAATAGAGAGGCTGCTTTTATATCCGAACGTTTCTATGTTCAAAGTTACCTATGCCAAGAACAAAAAATCGGGTAATACTAAAGTTGAATGAATTTTTTCCGAATCCCCCTCCGTCAACAAAAGGAAACAGAAGTGTGGTTATAAATTTAATCATTTTGACAATTGTTTGTCATAAACTGTCACGAAGTTCATCACTGACCTGAAGAGATGCTTCTGCGCCAAAGATGACTGATTAATATACACAGAGACGTCAAGGTTTACTTTAAGGCAAGTAGCATGGGACAGAAGTTATTTCTGCTGCCATTCTAGTTAAATTGTGTTTAACTGGGCTGTACATGTCATAAGAGAAGCTGTTTCATTTCATCGTAGGCAAGTAATACATTTGTTACTATTCTACATAGTGTAGATACCGAAGAGCAGGTATTAGAAGTCATTTTCTTAGAGCCCCGTGAATAATGTGTTGTTCTTTTTAACGAAAATTAGTACATTTTCAGAATTCACTATGCATCATATGCCTGACATTAAGTTTATCGTTATTTCTAAAAAAGAGTACCACATGTCCATTCAAAGAACGTTATTAAGTGTACTAAAACATAAATATCGCTTTTGATTAATCGGTGCTTATGATTTTCAATAAACAGTATCAATTTTTACTGAACAGCTTTGTTGCTGATACCTAATCTAAGCAACGAAAAAAGAGACGAGATTCCACTTCTCTGGTGTATTAAGATCATAGGTATGTGCTGTGGTGTCAATCATGTGGGGGAGATACTGAAAACTGAGACTTATTCAAGAATAATATTGATGTTGCACATGATGATTCAAAACAGTTTCTTTAAAGTTGTGAGTACTTTCTAGAGATTGAAAAGATACGAATAAAAATTATAACAAAAATCGTTTAGTTGCAATTTTTGTTAAGAACAATACAAACTATAAACAAATCAGTACCAATACCACTAAGTTATTGATGTCTTATTCATACTAGTATAAAGAATATTTGGAAATGATGTTAATTTATGGAGAATGTAAGGCGATCAGGTAACACAAACGGCCCCACTTAAAAAAACAGGAACGGAGTTTAGTGATAATTTTATCAGATGCATTAAAATTTTTACCACAGTAGTACCATTGATATATTCCAGCCCATAGATTAATAGTAAATCGCTCCTGATATGCTCTCACCCTAGTGAGATGTGGATTTGCGTGTGCCCAGAAATGCCAATTGTGTGCATTAAACATTCCTTCTCGGGAAAATGAACATTCGTCGGTGAAAAGAATGCGCAGTGTAAAATCAGGGTTTAGTTCATTTTGTCGCAGTAACCATTGAGCAAAATGTACTCGTCGCGGGTAGTCGGTTGGTCGCAGATGCTGCACTCTCGTGTAATGGTAAGGATGCAGTCTTCTCTCTTGAAGAATACGATGAGTGGTCGATCTTGAGCATCCACTCATTTGCGCTACGTAGAGGACACTTCTCCTAGGATCCGCTTCCATGTTTTCTAACACTTGCTCTTCAGCACCTACACGTACATTCCGTAGAGCCCCAGCACGGCCTTTCCGACTAGGTTGAAAAGATCCATCTTCTCTTGCTCGATGTAACAATCGGTGAAACACATGTTGGTCTAGGTGCCGACGATTATTCACGGGGCTCTAAGAAAATGACTTCTAATACCTGCTCTTCGGTAGCTACTCTATGTAGAATAGTAATAAATGTATTATTTGCCTACGATGAAATGAAACAGATTCTCTTATGACATGTATAGTCCAGTTAAACACAATT